TGTTCGTGAACGGCTTGTTTTGGGCTCGCTGAGCAAACGAGCCGAACACAATCTCACTTTTTGAGCTAGAAATATAAAGCGCTCGTGTTTGGCTCGTTTACACCCCTAATTATAATTTTAAAATTACTCCATACTCTAAAGAAAGTATAACTTTTTTTTAGCTTATAATGTAGATAAAAAAACAATTTTGGACATTTTGCAAGATTTAAAGTCATTATGATGTATTTTAGATTAAAATATTTCTGATACAAGTTTTTAAATTTTAATTTTTTATTCAGCTATTGCTCTCAATTTTTTTTTAAAAAAAAATTAAAATATCTTATGTGAAATTTTGTAATATGATCACATAATTTATTTGTATTGTATTTTTACCCTAAAAACCCCTCATTAACTAATATATAATATGCTACAAGTCATGTGTATAAAAGATAATTTAATTGTATTATTTACAAATAGCACCACTCACAAAATCAAAGAAGAAAATAAAGTAAATGGGGAACACATCATACATGCTTTCCTAAAAGGGAAGAGCCATGAGAACTTGGCTGGTTGGCGACTAAGGATAATTGGGTTAGCCATCCGTATTTGGAGCTGGTGTGACACGAAGAAGGTGGCCATGCCAGTGCAAAAGGTGAACAACCTTCGTTATTAGGGTAGTAACTACATGGCCTGAAAGTGGTGAAAAAATGTGGCTGGGATTGAGGGCTGGCAGAATGATACATTTTCTAGAGGTGAGGATGAGATGAGATGATGTTTAACTGTAGTATAGACTCTAAATGTTTAGACAATTGAGGAAAATAAAAGAGAGGGAGATGATGCATGGCAAGCTATGGGTTCCATCACCCAAGCACGATAATTAAAGTTATATAATAGTATTTTATTTTGTTTTTATATAATAAAATAGAAGCAGTAGTTTTATAATGTTTGAAGGAAATTTAGAAATATTAAACCTATTATTTTGAATTATTAATTAATAATATCTTAGTTTGTTATTTACGCTTATAATTTCTTAGTGTCATAAACGTACGCATGAAAATGTGTATTCAGTTTTATAGATGTATTTATGTTCGTATTTTTGATGTGAAGCTAGAGATTTGAGTGGTATGAATGTAAATACGAAGATTTAGATGTTAGAAATGTAAATACATAAGAATTTTGTGGCATGTATGTAAATGACTCCAAAATAATAGCATGGAAAAAAAAAAGGGAACAAATATATTTTTAAAATAAAAGCAAAAAGAACAAGGTGATCCCAAACAAGACCTAAGAAAATCTCCTACATAAACCATTCCAAAAACTAGCAAATAGTCACCAGCTTTTTTAGCTTTCCACCAGCTTGCAAAGTTTGCTTACAGCTGAGAGCAGGGGAAGTCTGGTGGCCAGTGGTCTACGGTCGATAATAGTCGGCAACTACCGAAGCGAAAAGTTATAGGTGGGACTTTAATATGAAGTTATTTGTTATATTGTTTGAGATACTTCATTACAACGTGTTTGGGATATGTCTTTACATTGTATTCGAGATACTTCGTTAAATCGTATTCAGGGTACGCCATTAAAAAGTAAAGTTCATCGACAACGACGAGCAAGGGCGGCATGTGGTAGTCAACGACGACCAGTGGTGGGTGGTGGACGGTTGTGGAGGCTGAGAGTTATCAGTTGGTCCTCGGCCCAGAGTAACACTAAAATTTGATTCCTTCTACAGCCATCAAGTGAAGAGGGTGGTATATTTATAGCCTCTGGGGTTCAGGCATTTTTGATTTTTTGGGAAATAAATCACGTAACTACCCGATCGAATGACCCACATCAACCCCCCTTTATCATAGGGAGGTTTTTTTTTATGATTTGAGGACATTAATGACCTCATAATTGAATGATCTTGGACTTGGTAGATTCTTTTTGTCGAGACACTTGAATCAAATAAAAATATGTCAAAATTGAAGTTCATTTGATCATTGACAATCCAAAACCTTCAAATATATTTTAATGACTTGGTCTAAGCTTGACTAGATTCAGATCGAACCATTTTTAACATCATCGGGTTTGTCTTGCCGAGACGTATAGTTCAACCATGAACTTATAGAAATGAAGCTCTAAATGATCTTTAATTTGAATCTCAAATATCTGCTTTTAACAATTTATTGAAATTTGTGCTGGATGATAAACTTTTTTTAAAGATGCATCAACAATAAAATATTTATTTGATGAAATATTTCGTCATCTGTTGAAGTCTTTTTGGACAGATCAGCAAGCTTTCTTCCACTTGTACGCTGTGTTCGATGTAAATCCTAACACAAGGATATTACATAAAAAAATTTACAGATACTGCTAGACAGTTCTTCCATTTTCTTTCTCGCACAGAAGAGAATCTTAGCAATGGTAATAAATCACCAATAAAAACAAAAAACCATGCTGAAACAGTAAAAATAAAGCTGCTCAAAATTATTTTTTAATTCCACCATAAGTTTATCTTGATTTGGTCTTCCATCTATCTTGTTTTTCAAAAATTAATATGTATGTACGTCAGAAACTTGTTTGCTTGAAACTTGAGGAAATCTAACGGGCAGAAGGACAAAGAAGTACTGTCAAAGAGGGTCAACAGACGGAAGACCAAATGATCCATAGGCAGAAGAGCAAAGGGATCATAGGCGGGAGACCAAGCTTCCACTAACGGAAGACTAATGATCCATTAGCGTAATACCAAATGACCTACTTAACTTGGTGCAACCCGCTTGAATTGGGGCTAAAGGTTGACTGAATGTAAGCCATTCGAACCAAGGACCAAGGTCAATCGAGCTGAGCAGAGGCAACAACCTACTGCTCGCCTAAGCCCGACTCATAGAAAGAGCTCAGCATTGTGAGCGCCCTTGAGATTCCTTAACAGGGATCGAGAACTGACCATAACATAATCACATGGAGTACCCCTAAGGATCACCATGTCAAGAAGTAAGCTACCTATCAAATTATAGTTATTTACTATTTGCCTCATAGAAAGGGTAAACGTGTAACTTCTAATATTGTACCCCTTCCTTTATAAATATGACTACCATTTCATAAGAAAGGGTTTATCAATAGATCTGATTATTGTTCATTATTATATACCCCCCCCCCCCACCCTCACCCCCCACTAGATGAGATTAATGGACAAATCAGAATTTAAGAATATCATCATTCTATTTGTATGTCAAATGAGTGACAAATTCTAATAAATATTTTAATTTTTTTTAAAAGAGGATAAAACACCAGCTTAATCAAATAAAATTTACTATTAAAAGTTTTTTCTATATCCTATATCGCCCGATTATATTTGAAGTATTTAATAGCCAAAATATAGAATAAAACTACATGAAAAAATAGATGGGATCATAATTTGAAGATTGATATCGTGAAATTTGATATTTATAATCCATATGTATAAAAAAAACACAGAGATGTATTTATAAAGAAAAAAAAAAGAGAAAAGAGTTGCAGATAAAAAATTAAACCAAATCACTTTCATATGTAATGTTCCATTGTAGATATCTAGATAGGAGAAATTATTACACACAGACACCATGTGAAACACCATGCAAATAGAAAACATGAAACTTACATAGTAACATGTAAATATAAAAAAAATATATGTGAGATCTATTCATAAAAGAAATAATTAGAAAAACTTAAAGTTCTTTCATACTCAAAACAATGATGCCAATTATGGTATTGGCAAACTTTAAGGTGAATCTTATTAAAGTTACATCAAACACAAGATCAATTTAAAATTCTATGCTAAAAATTAAAATATATAAATAAATCAATCAAAATTATTGTGAATTCAACTTTAAAGAAAAAAAAAATTCTCGAACTTAACAAGCATGCAAACAACTTTAATCAGAATTACATGTATGTCAGTTGAATAAGGATCTTTATATTAGGTTCACTCATATAACATGTAGACTAAGATTTCCTCAACTAAAAAAGAGTCAAGCATTTTGAAAGGTTGTGATTATTTTTGGGAGGAATTAATAAGTAAAAATATATCTTCAAAAAATAAATAATTTGAGAAAAAAAGGTAAATTCCACTATTAAAACAACAACTGAATAGTGAGCCTTAGCTTAATTAAGTTTTGTTTTCCAAAATCTTAAATCAATAAAGCTTGCAAAAAATGCATGCATAACATGGTTAACTAAGTTGAACATGCTATCAAGAAAAAAATTAAGCAAATGAACTTGGTAAATAAATTATCAAAAACAAAAAAAAAAATGAAAC